TATATATATATATATATATATATATATATATATATAGAGAGAGAGAGAGAGAGAGAGAGAGTGGGTTGCACGCCACAACGGGCCTTATGGCTATATGTAGATCGGGTTACACGCCGCATTAGGTATCGTACAATGCTGAGTGACGGAGCATGACGAACGAGAATTGAGACGGGCAGATTGAATGCTCTAAGAGTGTAAGTACTTGAGATTTCACTGTGTTGCATCACATACGGTTCTCACATTGGCATATAGCTATAGAGACGCCGTACTCTTCTTATCAATCAAACTTGGCGTATTTCCTCTATGCTAAATTTAACTGTTGAACGTAGAAGCATGCCTACTTTATGTATTGTTAAACTCTGTATATTTACTACATTGTTTGAGCTCGTCACTGTCTTCAGACCACATGTTAGGTTTGTTACTTAATGAGTTGGTTGTACTCACGTTACACCCTGCACCTCGTGTGCAGATCCAAGTGCTTTCGGTCACGGCGATTGCTGATTTGCAGGAGTCCCGAACCTTCGGAGATCATCGGGGTAGCTGCTTGGCGTTCGCAAACCTTGACTCTCCTCCCTTATCTTTCAGTTTATTTATTCAGTTTTACTTTCTAGCCAGTGTACCAGACTTTGCCATCATTTAGATGCTCATGTACTCAGTGACACCGAGTTTTGGGAGCGTATTGTATAGAGACACAATATCTTGTACTAGTATTTGTGAAATTTTCTCTTAACTTTATTTATTACGTTTTCAAACTTAAAGAATTTTGTGTTTTATTGATGTTGTCAGCTTGCCTAGTATTGAGATAGGCGTAATCACAACATGTGAGACTTTGGGTCGTGACATTTTCTTAAATATATCAAGGATTTGAAATTTTACACTCTAATACAGTGGTTAAAAATAATTAAATTTTTGAATTTATTACAATGACATGCTGGTCAATCTTTTATCCATTAAAAATAATTTTGATATCGAAAAAAAATTGTAATTTAATTCTCTTTTTATTATTTAAGACTTAAAAATTAACTAAATTTTTTAAGTGAAATGTAGATCAATTTTTTGTTATCCTTTGAACATATAAGTTTTATTATTTAGAAATATTGTTATAGTTAAACCTTAAAAACTTAGAATGAGCTAAATATTAAGAATTTTAATAATGATTAATTTTTATCCTCTAATTTTGAGAAAAGGTAATTAATGTTTTAACTGATTTAACAAAATAACTCTCTGAACCAACTACTCATAGTGTACATAAATTCAATTCTTTTACAAATTCATCATAGAAGTAATTGCAAAACTTTTAGCGTACATAAATATATTTCCTTAAGAAGAGCATTGAATATGAAATAAATAAAAAATTAGAGCAACATTAATTACAATATAGTATAGAGAGTTGGTTACACGCGCAATACGCGTACCCTAAGACTAGTCTTATAAAACGGATTAAAGAAGTAATAATCTTATATCCCCCCCC